GATGAATGTCTCCACAATAACACTTCATCAGCCAGGGAAAACACAAGAAGAATTATTACGGACCTAAAACCTAGTGTTGCTGAAAATAGGAACAGAAAAACAAGACAGAATTTTTTACAAAATGTAAATATTAACAAGTTTATTTTGCTTTGTGAATAACAGTATGGACTACTAAAACTAAAAGCACCAAAGTTGAAAGCTTACAAGGTCCAATTGTTTGTACGCTGATCCTCGCTTATTATGAACCAGTTAGGAGAAGGCTCATCAGCCTTCAACCAATTAAAATCATTGACTAGCGACCAATTATTCTCTGAAGGATCAAGACCTGCTGACGCAAAGTCACTCTTCAGGTTTTCATATTTCCAGTTAAATGGAGCAAAGCCCAGATTGGAACAATCCTCAACAATGGCCCTGCTTGTCACATGAAGGTAAAACTTGCTGTCTGTGGTGCTATGAACCCGCAGCTGATGACACGGAAAAACAAACTTGCAACTGAGACAGTCTTCAATGAATACAGCTCCAGAAACTGGTCCACATAACAGAGTGCAGTCCTTTAGCTTATTCATAAGTAGGGCTGATGGTGCTCCATAAATTATGATATTGCAGTTCTGAAGATCTCTAAGTGTGATGTCTCGATTCTTGACCTGTGATGGAGCTAAGGTGAGTGTGTCGTCTGAAACCCCTTGAAAACCAAGACTGGCATCTGCAATCTTTTTTTCTGTACCTGACAGAGCATCCCCTTTGTTCTTAATTTCTTGCTTGATTTGTCCTTCCTAACAAACAATATTTTTACAAGGTTTAGAAGTATTTATTATTATAGTACTCCCTCTATCTTCCCAACTTCACAAGATGTTATGTGTAACATGAAGAAAAATTATAAGTGGTATCTCCAACATAACAAAGTGCCAAGGGATGCAGAAAATGTGTTTGTTAGAACAGGGATTTGTTATATCTGGGTTCTATTCCATACACATGATCAAAAGTCTGTTGATAGTCAGCTGAGTGTCAACTTATATGTATTGACACTCAATGGCATGTCTGCCAAAATTAATTGACACTCGATCGACTGTCGACTGGAAAGATGATCGAGTATCGATCAAGTGTTGATTGAGGGTATCAGTTGAGGGTCTTGATAGACAGTCTGTGGATGCCTCTGGAAAACATGATCCCTGAAATAGGATGGGCTGGAATCCAGATTGAGTGTTCTATGCATGCTCATCTAGTCCCCAGGGTCTACATGTTTTTGGTCAATGGTGACCAAATAGACTAATGCTTGACACTCTGGATGAACTAAAAAAACAGGAGGTCCAGTATGACTGTGTGCATACATTCAAGTTCAAATAATTATAACATTTCTGAACATGTGTAGAACGAGTAACCACTGTGACTAATTCTGGCTCACATTACTATTTCTTGCAGGGATCTTGATTTCTTAGTGCTAACCAAAAGGCTTGCGGCCTTTTGGAATGGAGTAGGATTCCCAGGGGCTATGATTCTTTTGGTTTTCGATGAGGGTCACAACCTCTAGCTACTACTTGCTATTGATTTATGAACCTTCCCCCCACCCCCACCCCCCCCACAAATGACTCCCTCTGTTGTTGAGTCCCTTTCAAAAATCTTGAAAATTCACAAGCTGCCTGGGAGCTCTGCATAGCGTTTAAGGTATTAGATAAGCTTAACTCACTCGTAGACATCTTATGGACACACACCTCTTTTACCGACGACTCTTTTTTCCTCACTTTGAAAGCAAACTTCTTCTTTGGTATGTATTCTTCTCGTTTCTCGTTGATCTCTTGCTGTAACGCTTTTAAACTGTCCTGTGACACTTGAATGTCACGAGAAGGTAAAAACATTGTTGAATCCGCCAAAAACTTTTGGAGTTTTTGGCACTTATCTGACAAGCAATCGAAGAATTCTACCGCCTTCATTTTATTGCCAGCTTCTATCAGTTCTGCCCTTTTACCAAGCTGTTCCTCTATTGCTCCCTTCTCCTCGGCGAAAGTAGATGTGATATATTCTATTGTTTCTGTTGGCTGTTCATTGCTTTCCTTATCAGCTTTACGTCTTTCAATGGCTGCCAATCGTTCTTCGTTCCGTTTCTCAAGTCGCTCCCTAACATCCGCCATTTTCGAATAATTTTTGAGAAGACCCGGATGCTAAGCTCGAAGGCTAGGCTACTATTTTTTGTCAAAGATTCGCGCATGGTCGCCATCTTGCCTGAAAATGAGTTAGCCGAAAACATCTTTAGTTATTAGCTTGTAACGTGACGGAAAATGAATCCGTACGCGTATCAACAAGCACAATTACAACAACAGCAGCAGCAACAACAACAGCAGTATCAATACCAAGCCCACTACCCGCAACAACAGCCGTATTACTACATTCAACAACAACCTTCCACTCAACCGCAAACGGCTTACCAGACTCCTCAGCAGTATGCTCAATACGGAACAATAGGCTATCAAAATCACCAAACACCTGCCAATACAGGACAATATTCTTTACAAGGATATCCACAAGTCGCTGGAGCACAGTATGTGGCGACAAGCCTCACAGGACAAACCTTTTACGCGACGGCCGCTCAACCCAGCCAAGCCGTCCACGAACAAGCAGCAGTCCAACCTCAGAACCAACAGGCTGTCAGCGACGAACAACCACCGCCATTACCGCCGGAGCAATCGGATTCTTCTGCTGCTGCTGCCCCTCCTCCCTTACCTCCTGAACCGGCACCCACATCAACAGCGGTTGAACAACAGATTTCTGAATCTCAGAAGCAGTACCAGGAGAAGTATGCGGCGTGGCAGCAGCAATATGCCCAGTGGCAGGCACAGCATCAAAACCATCCTGATCAGAAACAATATCAAGAATGGCAGAAGCAAATGAGTCAATGGCAACAACATAACCAAACCCTGTTACAGATGAAAGCAGCAGACGGTCAACATCAGCAGACAACTGAACAGCATGCTGTGACAGCTACTGTGACTTCCCAGGGTCAAAGACAGGCTATTAAACAACAACAGCCACATCATCCAGGGGAAAGTTTTGTTGCTGCCCAGCAAGGACAACAGCAGTCATATGAACAATATCAACAACAATCACATTACCAACAACAACAACAATTACCTTACCAACAACAACAGCAACAACAACAACAATCATCTTACCAACAACAACAACAACAATCACCTTACCAACAACAACAACAACAACAACAACAACAACAATCATCTTACCAACAACAACAACAACAACAACAATCATCTTACCAACAACAACAACAACAACAACTTCTTCAAAACCAGCAGCACCGTCAGCCATCTCAGTCTCAATGGTCTCAAAATACTTCCATGCAAAATCAGCAAGGCCTAAATCAACAGTATAATCAGCAACAAAGCCATAATTATCATAACCAAAACCGACAATACCAACAGCAACAACACCAACCATGGAAATCACAGCATGAACAACAGCAAAAACCAAACTGGATGCAACATCAGAAAGGTGATGGTGACCAGAACTCTAAGAATAACAATCAAGCTTCATTGCCAACAAACATTCCTGACTTGATGCAAAACAAGCCTATTGGAACTCACAAAGCTACAATCCAACAAAATCAGCTTCCAAACTGGATGGAGTCTGGCAAAACCTCAACATTGTCAAGCCAACCAGGACAGAACCCTAGGTGGATGCCACCTGCAAAGGCAGTATCAAATCAACAACAGAGAACTGCAGTTAGTGACAGTGGTGCTAAACAACTTCCAAAATGGTTGCAGGCTAAGCAAGGCTTGTCAAATCAACATCAACCATCTGAAAGGAATCAACAAGAAGAAAATAAGATGCCAAAATGGTTACAAGAAAAACTTGAAAAAACTGAACAAGATGTCAAACAAGAAGCTGCAAAGAAAGCTCTTGAGGCTCAAAAGAAACAAGTTCCAAAATGGCTACAAGAAAAAGTTCCAAAAACTAGTCAAGCTCAAGCTGTCACTTATGGCCAACAATCACAAGAAAAGCAAATTCCAAAGTGGCTTAGTAAAGACAAACCTTCAGTAGATGGTAGCCAAACAGGAGACCAAGTGAAACAGGGTCACATACCAAAATGGCTTCAGTCTAAGACAACAGTTGCTCCAGGTAGTACTGTGACACAAACATCATCAGGTACATGTGGAGATAGGATTATAATCTGGTTGTTTTAATTCAAAACAGTCATAATACATAGAGAAACTACATGTAAGTTTTAAGTTCTGTAGCCTTTTGCAGTTACAAAGAAAGCCAGAGCCATCACGTTTACACCACATTGTTATCTCCAGCTGTTGGGTATTTAACTTCAGTAATGTTTCTTTTGCAACTCCCTGATCTCCAATGTGACTAAAAATTGAGTAGTTCGTATAGTGTGATCGTCCGGGTGAGTGTANTTGAACGTGATTGCTCAGTATAGCCATGATGGTATTGGCTGAAAGACTCGTGTAAAGTTTGTCATCAGTCATTGGTGGGTTGAGTGTTGGCAACCAGATAATTATTTAGAACTGTGGGCAATTCTCCTTTTTTGCAAGGTTAAAAAAAGCACTGGAGTATTTTTAGCTACTCTTGGACTGTGCACCTGTAATTAGTTATTGTTTTCAACTGTCTTGCTCTTTACAGGGAAAACCAAGTCTATTAAGTGTTCATTGATAAGCATTAACTACAATTTAGATTAAATTGTAGTTAACAGTTGGTTTATATCTACTTGCATGTCTAAATCTCTAGAATGTGACTTTTTTTCCTTGTATATAAGTAAGAAACCAGCATTTCAGAAGTTTTTTCCCACTTTAAATTCATTGCTTTTTGTTTATTTTCTGGTTAGATTATAAATTGGTTATTTTCGTATGTTTCAGCTGAAACATCCACAAAATTGTCAGTAGAGTGGGATAAAAGTGAAAGGTATGTATTTATAAGATGAAGAGGTTTTCCTTTTATGATATTGGGAGATTATTTTTGTGTTACACAAAAGCACTACTTGATAATGCATCTCAAATAACATGGTTAACATTACAATAATCTAAATTAAAAGCAACTCACATGCACCCAACATTAACGCAGAATTGTAGAGTGCATGCCTAAATATAATTTACTGAATGAAAGATGAATGTTCAGCAGTCTAACAGGTACATGACTATACATATAAATACCTATATAACTATATAAATACTACATGAACAGAGAATTGTGTGCTTTGCAACAGCTTTCATTTGGATAGTCACATAATAAATGTTGTATCTGTCGACACAGAAACTACATGATTGTATAACATTGTGCAAGTGAAGCTTGAACTGCAAAATGCAGAACACTGTTTTAAATTTCTTCTCAATATGACAGGAGGCTTACCTTGAACTCTTACCTGGAAAAGTAACATTGAGAAATGATTTTGAATCCTTTTCTAACAGAAATGTATCTTCTGCTCCGGTTACCTTGAGTCCACTCAAGCTGGATCCTCTCAAGGAGCTAGAGCTGCTACGACGACAACAAGAACAACTCCAACAGCTTCAGCAGCTTCAGCAGCTTGGGAAACACTTGAAGCAGACTTCCGCATCAGATGTTCCTGAGAAATCAGAATCAACTGCAAGCAAGTCATCAAGTGCTGTTATTAGTACAACTAAGGCTGAGTCTGGGACAGGTGACTCAAGGTCGTTACAGTACAGCCATGGGACTCAGGGTACGCCAGCTCAAGAGAAAAATAGCACTGCAGCAGATCGAAACACAGGTAGTGTGACTTTTGTTTCAGTGGTAACTTTGGATGTGGCTGAATAACGTTTTGGAAGTTTTGGTAAACTAAATGAGAGACTCAAGAAATGTAAGAATCAAAAAAGTTTAAAGTTTGTGGCTGGTCTTGGCCCATAAATAAGCCCACACAAAATGACTTGGTCAACTTTCTTCCATCTTAACTTCACATTACCTCGGTAATCCATTCAAGTTTACACTCTGTTATTGGGATTTCTCCTTGTTTGACTGCATCAGAGAGATTTTTTTATGTTGGATGAAAACAGTGTTCTCCTTTTCAGGCAGTAACTGGTAAAATTTACTAGCTGTAGCGCCACTTATTACTGCCTAAAAACGCTTGGATTTCTATAAAATTTACTGGTTAAAAGAAATAAGTAGTTGAAAAACCTCTGACATTTTCCTCCGAGTGCACACAGATAACTAATTAAAAGTATTTGTTCTCAGTGATGTGTGGTCATAAAACCTGAAGGAGTTTACGGAAAAGTATTTGTGTAATTTAGTTTCTTGACAGTAATACGGTAAATACATGAACCTTGACAATAGCATCATGAGGACATGGAA